CAGGGAGCTTCTCCTCTGCTACCCTTAAACTAGTTGGCCATTCCAGACTCAACCTAGTATGTCTGCTCTACATTTTTCCTTCATATAGAGGCCCAGATATGTATGTGATTGGGCTGCATAAATAGCACCAGAGCTAATTTCATAGACAAGTTTTATATCAAATATGAATTTCACTGTTCCCCCCTTTTCCCCCCAGAAGTATGGTTAATGGGGGAAGAAAAAGAATTTGAATGTCTATCCCAAATAAAGCTGTCACCACATGTCACAACTATAAAATTAAACAAATTCTTATCCTGTTCTATCTTTCTGATTCACCTCTCTCTGTGTTCATACTCTTCCTTCTCTTAATCCCTATCCCTTTATATTTCAGTATTACTGTTTAAGTCTGCAAAAATGTGAAACTTAATCATTCTTAGCATTAAACTATATTTTAGAGCCCATTTTTAGCCATGATCACAAACTATGACTGGAAACAAGCTATGATTAGCAGTCCCTAATCACTATATGTATTGAGTGTGATTCAGTATTTGAAATGATTAAATGCATCACTGTTTTTCATTCAGGTTAATAAAAATGCTCTGAATCTCAAGATTTATTTCAATATTTGAGATTTCCTCAGTTTCTCCCACATACTGGGTCCCTGACATCAGTGGGGGAAAAAAATCTTCTATAAGGCATGCAATGAGAACTGATCAATTAATGAGAAAAATCAAGGAAATGTTTAGATAAATACCATAGATAGATTTAATTAAATTAGTAGAGCCTCTGTATTGCCTTTTCTGATATTGATTTCCCCCGAATCTTGCAAGATCTACAGAGAACTATTTTCAGTGCTGTGCAGACCGCGGTGGTTTATCACCATGCAGGAAAGAAAAGCATTTTGGGCTGCATTCTTGAAGTTCCACACAGATTTATGAGCGAGTGCCATCAATTACAAGGTCTGTGACATTCGTTAGGACTAACGTTTTGAGTTGGGTGATCTCAGAAGAGGGATCACCATGGAACTTGAAAAGTTGTCTTCTCAATAGACAGTTGTGCTTGTGTCGGCAATGAATCACAAGAAGAGGAGATTCAGGGACGCCTGTGAAATTACTGGAGAGATTGTTTTGAAGGACATGAGCCAGTATATATCTTAACAGGCTTAAGAGGCACAGCTCTGATGGTTTGGGGTCTAAGCAAACTCCTGATGTCTTTCTCTCTCTCTCTTGCTTCCAGTGATTTAATTTCAAAACACTCTCAGCAAAAGACAAAACAACCTTTGTGCTGCTTCCCAGTCCCTTCATGCTGTGCCGTTAAATGAAGCGAAGGGGGAATTAATGCATAGAAGGAATTTATTTTAGAACTCTGAAATTAAAAAACAACAACAACAAAGTTTTATTTTTAACAATGACACTGATAAAATTAATGCGGTACAAGACCAATACACATAGAGAGAGACGTATATTTTTAAAAAAGAAATATATCATTCCATATATTTATAAATAGATTTTTTTTAGAGTGTAAAAAAATTTCAGCAGAACTCAGAATTGTTTTTCTTCTTTTCTTTGTTTGAAAATTGTTATAGATATACAATCATTGCAGTATGAGAAGTATTTGCTTCAGTTTGACCCTATGGTAATTGTATTCTGTATATAAAAAAAGGATTATTTGTCAAATGTAGTGAAAGCTATCCTGAACAATATTTAGCTGATGGGTAGGATACTGTTCGTGCATTTGTATTTGAATATGAGTGTTCATGAGTGTGTATGAGAGGAGAAGCATTTAAAGCATTTAAAAACAAACCATGGACAGACGGAATAAATATAGGTTACATTTTATGAAGCATATTATTCACGTACTGATATATAAAAATAGATTATATAAGATTTTGTATATAGAGACAAAGATAAAAATAGAGACAGAGGGGGAGGTAGACATGTACTTATGTCCCTTTAAAACTCTCAACATAAGATGTTGAGTTTCTATTTCCACAATTTATTCTCTAGTCAAAATATCTGGAAATGATGGAAATAAAACCAGATTGCAGTGCACCTAGATGCCATCAGCACCTAGAGGAAGACTGCTACGGCTGGGATGTGTAGTTCTGATTAATCTAAATCCAACTTCATTGATTACTTTAATGGCAAAAGTACCATACTGTATCCATTTTGGAGAATATGTGACAAAAAGACTAAAATTGCAGCTAGAAAGAAAATTGCTACTTTTTGTTTCTGGCCTCAGATGAAAATCCCTCTCCAAGGGATGGATAGGAAGAACTGAAGACGAGACACATGAGTAGAATGACCACAATTCTATTGAATGCAGCCTATAGTGGAAAAAACCCCCCATAAAAGTAAAGATTTACTTTCTGTCAGTCTCACTATTATCTGGGATGCTTGGCTCAGCTTACGATAAATTGGATAAGCACCAAGTTCCTCAGTTAGGAGATTGTGATAGTGGTCAAATCCAGCCTCAAAATCCTCCATTACTGTACAGAATTTTTGTAAGGAAAATATTGGTTGCATATCATATAGTCAATTCAGCATTAAACTGAAGAGAGTAGAAAATTGTAAATGTAGAATATGGTAGAGAGATGGCCAGTGCATTGCTTAAACCATAAGTCAGTTAGATAGTATTTCCCCAAATAGTATCAGTAGCTCCCTTAATTTAGAATCAAATTAATAATATAGCAGATAATTAAAATTGTTAACGTAACTTTAAATGTTGAATGTGATGATTTGATGATCTTGCCTGAGAGCTAATCAGATTTTGACATTTCCATATAGGATTTCGGAAGAACTTTGGGGGAGATTGTCAAAATATCTTGGAATGTGATGATTGTGAACGGTTTTAGGTAATATTTAAGGAAAAGTCATGATGGCACGATGCTGCTATCGCTATGTCTGGAAATGTTTCACCTCTGATTTAATGGACAATTAATGCAATTATGGGGCTTAGGAACATAAAAAAAATCTTCTATGTTCAGTAAAATTCAGAATAAGTTAAATAAAAGTGTAAGTTTAGATCTCTGATTATTTAGCACATCTGGAATTCAGCGATGAAAATGACAGCAGGATAGCAGCAGGAATTGTAGTTTTATGAATCTCTTTGCTGCTGTTCACATCCAGTATTTTGCAGTCCACAAGTGCTACGCTGCCATGTAGCCCCAAATAACTGTCAATAAATGGCAGTGGCTCTTCTGCCATTTCACAACAGATTTTTTACCCCCTATTCCAGGGATTGATCTTGGGTCTTCAGTATACAAGCAGATCCTGTTCTGATGTGCTGTAGCACCACAACTCTAGAACAGCCAGTAATAATTTGGGATCCAATAATATCAAAATGCAGATTTCTTTCTACAGAGTAGTCATTGGTGCCATCACTGACTATTGGGGGCGAGTCATTGGCCCCCACGGAGAGGGTTCGCAACTTGGGTATCCTCCTGGACTCACGGCTGTCTTTAGAAGAGCACATGACGGCCGTGGCCAGGGGGACTTTTTATCAGGTCTGCCTGATTCGCCAGTTGCGTCTCTTTCTGGATCGGGACTCGTTAAATACGGTCACTCATGCTCTCGTTACTTCCCGCTTGGACTACTGCAATGCTCTCTACATGGGACTCCCCTTGAGGAGCACCCGGAGGCTCCAGCTGGTCCAGAATGCGGTCGCGCGGGTGGTTATGGGAGCGACGTGGCGCTCCCATGTGACTCCCCTCCTGCGCGAGCTGCACTGGCTCCCGGTGGTCTTCCGGGTGCGCTTCAAGGTTTTGGTTACCACCTTTAGAGCGCTCCATGGCATCGGACCGGGGTATCTACGAGACCACCTTCTGCTACCAATAGCCTCTCACCGACCAGTACGCTCCCATAGAGAGGGGCTCCTCAGGGTGCCGTCGGCCAAACAGTGTCGACTGGCGGCCCCCAGGGGGAGAGCCTTCTCTGTGGGGGCACCTACCATCTGGAACGAGCTCCCCCCAGAGATATGGAAGATCCTGGACCTGCGCACGTTTCGCCGTGCTCTCAAAACTTTTCTATTTCAGCAAGCTGGCCTGGCCTAACTCCCCTCTTTTAAATTTTTTAAATTTTTTAATTCGTGATTTTATAAATTGGGTGTTTTAATCTGTGTTTTCGGCCAAAATATTTAATAATTTTAAGGGATTTTTAATATTTGTATTATCTGTATTTTATCTTGGCTGTTCACCGCCCTGAGTCCTTCGGGAGTAGGGCGGTATAGAAATTTGATTAATAAATGATTAATAAATAAATGAATGTGGAAATATTCTCAGAAGGCAAAACCTTCAAAGATGATTTATTTCAATCACGAGTAGGTGGAAGAGCTTTTCTGTTGCATGCAAATATTTTCTTTTGGACCCATACTTTTATGGGGGAAATTTATAATGAATGGAAGGGGCTTGGCCACTGGTGAAGTCAACAGTATTAACTTTGAACCAGTAGGGAACATTCATTACTTTATGTTCATTTGTGTAATTCTGTGCTAAGCAAGTCAAGCTGTGGTCTATTTTCCCTGTGGTAATTGGGTGGTGCTAAGTTAATGAAAAGCAAGATAGTGGAAGGTGTTGGAGAATATTAATGATAGCTATGTATTTGCATATACGGAATATTTATGTACTGTAATAGTACTTATGTTAATGCACTTTACTGAAATGCATATGAGTTACTATATATAGATTGATGTTGCTGAACATTGCTAAATAGGGAGAAACTTCAATATATACATTTGCACCGCACATCTGATGTTCAGTCATACAAGAGAATTATCATGAAAGTGAGAACGAAAAAAAAAAATCCCATCAAATAGTTAAGCCATTTGAAACAGTACACAACAGATAAAGGGCAGGTTCCAGAGATCCTAGCCTGTATGAGCATAACAGAGTAATGGTGACAGTACAGTGATGTCACAACACAAATTCCACTCTTGCATATCCCAACCTCAGATGCAAATAATGGGATTTGTATTGTGATGTCATGAGTCATGGTTCATATTTTATCCTTTGTCCCCTCTTGTTCCTCCCTACTCCATAGATGCTTAAGGAAGGAAGAGTTACCACTCTGTCAAGGGCTGGTTTCTACCATTAAGTTGTGCTTTTATTTAAGACTTAAAGTTGAAGAAAAACTGGATTTATACCTCTTAGCTTTTGAATCGAATAAGATGCCATACTTCTGCTGCAAATTTTGGTAAGGTCCTGTTCATATTACATCCATTTGGGATTATATGATATTTTATATTTCCACTGTACACTTTCAGTAGAGAAGTAGAACATTTATCTTTGAAGGACTGGTCCCTGAGGATAGTCTTGCGCTAATCTTTATTTAGAGAAGTTCTAGTGATGGTAGGGGTGAGAAGGGTTGTTTAGGAATTTAATTTGTTTGTCCTGGTCACATTGAAAGCAACTTAAGCCATGCTTATGTATCCACTTCCAGACTACATTACAGAAATGTAATTTATGTTGCAGCTGCCTCTGAAAATAGTTTGGAGGTACAAAATGCCGCTTCGCAGAGATCTGGAACCTGCTTTGCAAAATTTTGCACCATTTATCTTAACTGCCTAGATACTTCTGAACTCAGTACATACATTTTAATTTACACCCATGGTTTGTATAAGGGAAGTCTCAGTCATTATATACGAATATTCACTTCTTCTAAGAACTACTACACAATGAAGCTCTCATAATAGCACCTAATCTGTGCAATACCATTCCTCTCCACTTACACGTCAGCAGAACGTACACAAGTTCAACAAATCTTTGAACTTTAAAACCAATCTTTTCTGGGCAGCTTTTGGCAAACACACAAATAATTCCTAAATACATATGCTTAACACATTTGTTTGTTTTAGCCTTTCTTTCTCCACAATTAATATCAGGGTATAGTGTTTATTTATTTATTTATTAGTTCAATTTATATGCCGCCTTTCTCCGGAGACTCAGTGTTGTACTGTAAAACATGCCAATTAGGAAAGGTGTGAACATAAAGAGTGGATTATAAATTTTAAAAACATTTATCAAAACTGGCTTGCAAATATTCAAGATTTTCTGTTCCAATGCACTGAATGATGCTTATTTATAGATTCATGGTTTACAATCATTCTTTACACTGTAAGTGCTCCTTCAAGGTAATGTTCGAGTTTTCAGAAACTGGAATCTTCAGCAGCATAAAAGTTAATGAAATAAAAATCCAACTGAAACAATCTTATATCTCCTTAACATTGTATACCATACAATCGAAAGAATGTAGATTTGGGCTTGGGAATGGAGAAAGAATGATTGAACTGTTAAGTAGGCAGTTTCAAAAAAGATTATTTAATCCTGAGACAGAAGGAAATGTGAGAAAAAAAGCCCTCAAAATTACCCTGCCTTAATTTTATTTGGTATAAGATGAGGCAGAGAGAAATTCTCAAAGGCTTTCAAGATTCTCTTGTTGTAATTCATAACAATAAAGAACATTCCAGAATCCCTGCTGGGTCTGTTTTTTGACCTGACCTACCTCAAAGAGCTGACAACAACTAAAGCTTAAATAGTAATTAACAAAAAATAATAACAATGCTGCCTAAAATAAACACTTTTTTGAATACATTCTTTTTAATGAAAAAAAAAGTCTTCAGAAAATAACTTTTTCTTCCATATGTTAAGAAAAGAATTCATAAAAATACATTATTTGGGTGTTTCAAGGCTTTGAAAAAATACTATCAGAAAAAGTTAAGCTAGAGAAACATTTTTAAAAAGGTATATCAATTTTCTTGCTAAATTCTTTTGTCTTTTTGCCAACCTCATAATCTGAATTAGAAATGGCCTGAATAAATTTTCCACATGAAAGCTTCACCTACTCACCTGAACCTTAGAAATGCCATATCAGTGTTAGGTAACTATTTCCTTTATCTCTTCGCTTATTAGCTAAGATATTTGGCTATTTAGACTGTGCTTCTAAATGGTATTATAGGACAAACTTATATTTGCTAGTATTAAGTTGTCATTTTGCTTTCTTTTGCTTTTTTTTTTGCTGTAAATTTACCTGAGGAAAGATGAGTTAAAAATACTTAAATTTGTTTACCTTCTGAAGCTTTCCGATAAAATTTACTTTTATTGTCAGTGGGGAAAAAAACCCGTCATTCAATATAAATATCAAACTCAATGTACAGATTTGACCCTCTGCAACTCCTGTTTCTTTATGGTATTTTTTACTGAAACTGTAAAAAGAGAGAGAGGGGAAAGGAGGAAGGGAGGGGAGGAAAATGGAAAGGAGATCAATTAAATACAGTGATCACAAACCTAATAACTAATTCTGCAGTAAAAATGAAGTGATGGGGTTCATTTCCTCCCTTAAACAAACAATGCGTGTTCATTAATTTTTCAGAACACAAATAATGTTATTTGTGAGCAAAACGCATTGAAGGGCAATCTCCCTTTTAAATGGCTTTCCCAGGGCCGAATAATTGAAGAAATCTTCCCAAGAGAGAAGAGGATATTCCAGTTGTTCAAATCATTTAAACCATGCTTGATAAAGCACATTCCTGCCAACATTGCTGCACCAGCACGGAAAATGGCATTGGCATGACATAACAAGCCAGTTCCTCCTCTTTTATAAACTCGCTTTTCTTTTTAGCGCCGCACTGCTTTACGCGGACCTTTATTTCATCCTGCAAAAAGGGGGTGGTGAGCCTTTGATTTGCCAAATCCGTACATGCACACAGATGCACACACGCTTCCACACAATTGTATGAAAAGATCCACCATTCCAAACTGCTGACATATCTAACAATCGCTGCGAAGGAGAAGCAATCCAGTCCCACTTCCATTCTACGGTGGTTTCCTAGGTAACCAGCACAGAGCCACTGAAATGGACTTCAGAAGAGTGGAAAGGCAGGAAGTGGCAACCTATTCCACTTTTCACCCCCCTCACACACAGACACACACAGACACACACCCCTCCCTTCCCATGGTTGTATTTTAAGTCCAGGGATAATCAACCTTAGCGAGAGAAGGAGGGGAAAGTGTTAGCATAGTTGCATAAGGAGAAAGGACAACACAGCCTAGATACTTCACATGCACTTGGCTTGCTCTTCGTTTTTTGCAGGTTAGCATCTTTTCCTTGGAAGGAGAGGATGCAAAGAAAACCATTGCTTGGCCCAGGTAGATATCCAGGGGGAGGGAACCTGTGCTTGTAAAATCAGGCTCCCTGCTTGCTGGCTCTCTGTGGAAAGCAGCTTCCTGGAAGGATTAGGCCTTGGATTGTGGGTCCCTAACTAAGATCTTTGGCTCAAGAGTACACCTCTTTCCTTGATGTTGGGCTTAAATACAGGGATCATTTTTTCCTCTGGAAAAAATAACGAATACTCTTGAAAATAAGTTCAAATCTGAAACAAGTTCAGAAGGATATTTTTGCTTATGTTTATAATTTTGCATTGCAAAGAAAAGTTGAAGAGCAAAACCAGAAAATAAAGAATTAGATTAATGGATCAGGAGGCTTTCCTCACAGCCACTCATGCCCTTGTCACCTCATGGTTAGATTATTGCAACGCGCTCTACATGGGGCTACCCTTGAAAAGTGTTTGGAGACTACAGTTGGTCCAGAACGCAGCCGCGCGAGCTGTCGTGGGTACACCTAGGTACACGCCCACATTACACCAATTCTCCGTGAGCTGCACTGGCTCCCTATTGGTCTCCGGTCACAATTCAAGGTGTTGGTTATTACCTTTAAAGCCCTATATGGCTCAGGGCCAGGTTATCTTCGAGACTGCCTTCTATCGCATAGCTCCCAGCGACTGGTAAGATCCCACAGAGTTGGTCTCCTCCAGGTCCCATCAGCTAAACAGTGCTGGCTGGGGGCCTGCGGGGGAGGGACTTCTCTGTGGCTGCCCCAGCTCTCTGGAACCAGTTACCTCCTGAGATCTGGACCATCCCCACCCTATTGGCCTTCCGAAAAGCGGTGAAGACCTGGCTTTTCCGGCAGGCCTGGGGCCGTTGATCTTGCTGTTGCGATCTGGCGAGATCCAGCCATGAATGGTGTGAATGAGTTTTAATTGTTTTTAATGTTTTAATATTTTAATGTTTTTATATATGGTTTTTAAATGCATTGTAAGCCACCTTGAGTCTTTGGAGAAAGGTGGCATACAAGTTGAACAAACAAACAAACAAACAAACAAACAAACAAACAAACAAACAAATAAATAAAAATGCATCTAAAGGGCAGCTTTCCCTGAACAAAGGGCTGTCCTTTATAATAAAGGATGTATGGCAGTGGTCCTCAAACTTGGCAGCTTTAAGACTTGTGGACTTCAACTCCCAGAATTCTATAGAATTCTATTCTATGCTGGCTGGAGAATTCTGGGAGTTGAAGTCCACAAGTCTTAAAGCTGCCAAGTTTGAAGATCTCTGGTGTATGGTCATGTTGGTTAAAGCAACTCTGCCCTCAAACAAGAACATCGCCTCCAAGGGGGGTCCCAGCAACAGGGTTACTGTCAAGCAGGCTTCTTTCTTGTTAGCCATTACAAAAGTCTTTGTGCTGAGGGTACCCTACTGTGGTAACTTTGTGGACCTGTGACTCTCCAGGGAGGGCAGAATGGGCTCGAAATCAGCACTACTCATCTGTCATGGCTAGCTAGGAAGAGATTCTTCCAGAAAATGGGGTAAAGAAGGGCCTGGGAAATGGCCTGGAAATAAACACTGGAGCAATCATTGAAGGGGCGGAAATAGGGTGGGTGGATGCATTGTTGAGGAAGAGGTGCACACCCACGCAAAGAAATCAAGGTGATCGCAATGGTGCCTCCTCCATCCAGAAGGTCCTGCTTTTTAATGCTAAACCAATTGCTGGTAAAGCATTTATTATTCAAGATTTCATCTTGGATGAAAATGCTGACCTGGCTTGTGTCACTGAGACCTGCTGACAGAACACCGGTGTGTTAATCTCTTCCAGATTTTTCTGCCAGGCTGTACTGTGCTACAGCAGGATAGAATCAGAGGGTGGGGAAGTGGAGTGGCCATGAAATTTCATCTTGCTGCAAGAATGCTTCCTACAGCAGCCTGCCAATTTTGAGCACATGCTGCTAAGGTCGGATGGCCAGAACAGTGTATTCAGTCTATTACTGAACTGTCCACTTCACTCCTTCTGTTCGTGAAGAAGTTTGGATGATCTTGCATGTGGTAGTGGACCGACCCCCATCCTGATTACTATAGTGTCTA